GTTTTTTTTTTATCTGGTTTAGTTTTAATCTGATTTATAAAATCAAATTGGACTGGATCAACCATTAACATCCCTATAGCACATAATGGAAGAAAAAGTTGTTTCACTCTCTTCAATTAATATGAAAAATTTTCAATCTTTTCAAAATTTTACTGGAATCACTGTAGAATGTGTAAAGTTTAATGGAACATTGCCTAGAAAAGACATAGAGCCCTATGAATGGTCTGATCATATTGAAGATTATTCAGTTCAGCGGGAACAAATCCTTGAATATTTAAACAAACACCTCGGTCCAAAACTTCACACTGATGTTATCATTCTCAATGTTGCTAACAATAAAGATTTTCTTAATATATATAATAATCCATTGCTTCCATTCGATATCCGAGGTGGAACGGATTTAATCTTGGTGGAAGAGGGTTATGTCAAAGGAAAAATTACCCATGCCGGAATTCGTGCAGTTTTTGAATTCAAGAAAGAAGTAGAAGACCGTCATGTATATCAGACTATTTTGAAAATGTTTTCCGCGGACCTTTATGCAAATGACAAGATTAAGGTTTTCGGTGTATTGACTGATCTGAAAAGTTCATGGAATATTTACTGGATAGGAAATGAAAAGAGAGTTATGATAATTACATTTTCACACCGTACAAAAGCGTTAGATTTGATTGCTCAGATGGCGAATGATCTAAATGAAACTTCTAAAACCGTGCATATGCTTGGTTTGCCAAAAATTGAACGTGTGAAGTTTAAACAACTTTATAATGATGGTGTGCCTTACGATGACCCAATGACAGATTTTTATGAAGAAATGGTCAAAGATGAGAGACAAAGGCATGAAGTACGCAAGGCTGTTACATTAATTAAAAATACACCAATATTTTCGAGCATGTACGCTAATCTATCATCAAAATAAATAACCAATGGCAAGATGGAATAATAGGATATGGTGTGAAAAAATCATTATGTATTGTGGGTGTATCCCGATTTTTGTAATTTTTTTTTGCGTATTTCAATAAAATTCGTTAGTACTGCATTTATGCTGAGGTCGAACCAGGAAAATGTGATTTTTCTTTTTTGAAGTTGAACATCGAAAGATTTCAAATACAGAAAAAAAGAAAAACCATCCACGGAAATTATAGAAAAAAAAATTGATAGTGAAGCCTCTTGCTTTGCTTTTGTTCATTATTATTCGTTATTATCGTTTGTGAATTACTAATCACACTTATTTATTTTTAATGTCGATTCTGTTAATTAAACCTTATCATGAAAATTTTTTGATACGAAAAACTTTAAAGTAAATCAGTATGTAAATTATAATTCTCAAATTTAGCAAATCAAATTAAATCATTAGAAATCCGAATATTGACTGTGAGGGCAATTAATTGCAATTATTTTAAACTCAATTAATTGATTGGTGGCGCAGCCACAATTAATCAATTAATTG